AGAAACTAAATAGTACTCATAGATGAAGTGTGAGAGTGCTCGTATTTAAAGCGTGAAACAAATAGTACTAATTACTACTAAATAGTGTTGATTATACAATAGGAAACAAAGGAATTTGTATAATKTATCACYTATTTTGTAGTATTTATATTTCACGCATTTAGTGCGAACACTCGATGAACCGAAAAGACAAATAAAATGGTTCAAAATAAAGAGTAATTATGTGTGGTAACCTGTGTACTATTTTAAGGGTTTATGAAAAACACTCTAGAATATAGTACTACTGTATGGTAGTTGTAGTACTGATGGTACTTACTGCTGAGCGAAGAAAGCAACGCGAGGAAAWCGYAAATCATGRGTATCGATGAAGACGTTTTGTACAAATAGATTAGGAGAGCAGCTATGCTGTAAAACAACACAAATCAACATTACAAAATAAAATCATTCATTCATCCGTCCATTCATTCACTTTTTCATTAGTCATTCATTTGTTCAGTAGCTACTTACGTTCAAGTAACGTCCACAGTTCCCATATGCCTTTGCGTCGATAACGTAACAATGCTCTTCACCATTGAACAGACTTCGAGTACTGGGTCTCTTTTGCGGACCCCCTTCAATCCCATCAGGACTTGCGCTACGTTTCACTCCTACACAAACGGATCAGAAGATACAAGGAATGAGCATAGTTTAGAACTAGCATGAAATCATTATATTTTACATGTATATTGAAACAACAACAACAACATCGACAAAATCGACAACAATATCAACATCAACAACATTGTACAACTCACCGCTTTTCTGTAATGTCACTATAAACCGTCTAGCGCGTCGACCATCGTTCTTCAAGCGATCTCGCCTCGCTTTCTGTTCACAAGACCCATCAGATGATCTGTCTACTGAATCRCTCACCCAAGAACCACTATGAGAGCTTGCAGGGGATGCTGGGAACGAATCACAGCTAGAGGTTGACGGGAAGAGTGGCAGATCGTCGAATGATTGTGTGGAGTCTTCTTCTGGGACGTCGGGACCTGTGTTATTGAGAGCTACGCCACGAGACTGTTGAAAATATCATTATCATCATCATCATAATTATCATCATCACTATCAYTGGCACGATTATTTACAAAACTATTTTTTCCCGAAGAACAACACGGTTGTATGTAGTTGTGAAATTACAGTTGTACTTATGTTTGTGGTGGAGTACAAACATTAAATGTGTGCAACACTTTCCACTTTCTACAAAATAGTGTTAATTAAACAATGGAAAACAATAGAATTAGCATAATTAAGCAGTATTTAGTGGTATTTATGTTGCACAGTGTTAGAGCGGATTTCGTATGAGTGGGAAACGGACGGTACTGTACTGTGTCCGTAATCGTACTGTAACCAAATTCTAGTGCCCCATTGTTTTCACCAAAATTGTGCAGGCCAGGTTCGGTAACTGTGCGGTAACCGTGCGGTAACGGTGTCCCACTCATACGAAATCCGCTCTAGTGTTTGTACTCTACACGTACCTGTAATTTAGCTATTGTGTCGTGCAGGTCTCCCGTCAGTCTCGAGCCTGGCTGCATTTTAGTCAGTTTCGGTGGTTCTTCGTCTGCTAAGTGGATCTGTGCTGCGATTTTACTCAAGTCATCAGCAGACATCAGAGGAGGGACACTATCATCGTCACTTGGAGCGGGTGTTTTTGAGAAGTTAAAGGACTTTCCTGATAGACGGTCACTCTGTGTATCTGATTCCTTGCCGTCAATAGAATCCATGGACTCATCTATTTCCATTCGTAGTTCAAAGTCGACGCCACAGTCATTATCAACACCATGTTCTTCCTGGGATTCTTTCGTTGCTATGCTTTCCTTGTTGCCATGGATACTATCCGTCACGCCATCTGGTTGACAAGAATTAACGTTTCCTAGGTTACCATCCTTAAATTTGTCATCCTCAATTAAAGTGTCATTTTTRTTATTGTCATGGTTATCGCTATTTCTGTTTCCATAGTAATCTTTTTCGTCACTATGGTGATGATTTACGTCACCAGCCTTATCATTCTCGCTGCCTTGGATACAAATTTTACTGGTCTGTAGGCTTTCTTCGTTGTCAAGACAACTGTTTTCTCCACAATTCCTATCTTGGTTACTACCACCGTCACTAAGACAACTGTTTCCTTGGAGAGTAGGCTTGTCTTTGATACTATCTTTGACATCTTGACGATCGTTGTCACGGACACTGTCAGAAATGGGTTGTTTTTCTGGAACATGAGAAGCCGAAGTAGTGTCCATTTTCTCTTCACTAAGTTCTTGCGATTGCTCTCGCATACAAGGATCAATCTCCATTTCTTCTTGCTTTGTAACCTCGCTGACACTACAAGTCACGTGACTGGGGCTGCTATTGTCTGCTTCCTTTAAGGTTATATTTTGATCCATTAGCATCTCGACGGCTGTCTCAAGCTCGGTTTTCTTATCAATCGTTTCACTATCTTTGATGTCCATATTACTTGATATTAMATCTGAAGATCCTGCTCCTTTAGTGCCTTCCGCAGACTCCACTTTGACGTCATTTCTGATGTCACCTTTTGTGACGTCACCAGCTGCGTCTCCTCCTTTCGCATTTTCACTTGAAATGTTAAAAAATTTGAAGTCTGTGAATTTTTTGCTGCCTGTGTCCTTGGTAGATTGTTCTTCAGTAGATTTGTTCATTGTCTTGGATTCGAACGTTCGATCGGGCTGAGCTTCATTCAAAGAACATTTGATCAGGCAGCTGTCTTCGTCGTCACTGGTCAAGTCGATTATAGTTGGTTTTGGCATTGGGGGAGGGTCTTTTTGAAGGTCGATTTTATTGCTAGCTTCTTCTTTCGGTTTGACTAGAATCAAAACAAAGACTGGTTATTGCCGGAACCTGGTTCAGTTTTTCGTCGCTACTGATTTTCTTTTCGTCGTGTTTTCTGTGTTGTGAATCGGAACAAGCTGTTTACTAAAGGCACAGGAAGCCCAAAACAAAATTACGCTCCGAGGGAGTCTATAATGGTCTTTTGACCGGTCTACCTGTGTTATTTTCTTGTTTGACGTCATCAGGACCGCCGATTCTTTTCAGWACAATGGAATCGCCGCTACTAATGGCCATCACACACCTGCAACAAGCATGATAATTAGCTTTCAGWTGGGATTCCTTTGTAATGACTTTTATGAGAGTGGGAACTACTCTCCCCATKCCCCTTATCAGCAGTCTTGGTAACAGGAAACCCAACATACGATCATAAACTAAGCTTACTTTTCGTCAGCCATTGTTATGCTGAAAGTCGTSCCATCTTCTTCTGTGATCTTAACTGGTTCTGGTGATTTCCTTAAAGAAACATTTATTTTTTTCAATGAAAATTGCCAAACACTAACTTCAAAAAACACATTCATTCCTATTTTATATGAGTAAACATGCTGAAAACCTTCCAATTTACTTAGAATGCACTGGCATGAGTAAAACGAATGTATAAGAATGATTTAAGCAAAGCTAAACGATAGCTAGTAGTCTGGCAATCGCACCATCTTAAGTCCCGGGTATTAGCGTCATGTCTCCATGGAGATCACAAACAACGTTTAACGCCAAGTATTCGCTCACGCAACAGACCGCGTGCAAACAGACTGGCGCGCTTGCTCTACGCATAAAAAAAACGGAATGTCATGTAATCCCTCGCAAACTGTACGATCAGTTTACGCAACACTCGTTGGCTTTGCTCCTGTAGTACCTTTTTGAGTGTCCGTTTTTCTTGACACGAGGGCTGTAGCTAGAATGACTGGAATCACTATCGTCTGAATCACTWTCGGACGTGAAACTACCACATGGTGACCTACAAAACAAGTTCACTGTTGTAAGCTGGGGAAAAAGATTATGATATATGGAAGAACGAGACACAACAAAGAGAAGGACACAACACTGATGGAGGAAAGAAAAAGACACAACAAAACAATCACGGGGTAAAAAACACAAGGGACATGGTCCACCAGTATTCAATGCGGTCGTGTTTTAGATTTTTCATATATGGAAATTGAGGTAACTTTGAATATCCATTCGAAATCCGTTTCCATCTATCGGTTTAAAAGTCGAATCATACAGTATCACCATTCATATAGTATAAAGGGATAATAAAGAGTATGTTTTTGCTTATATTACGATGTTTTTTTATTTTTAAACTGAGCAAAATCTCGAAAGGAATGCTGGTGGACCATGTCCCTTTAAAGGCCCACTTACATCCAACAACAAAATGTCTTTCTGACTGGTTCAAAATCAAAAATGTCGAATTTTCGTATTCGAGAAAAGCGCAAGGTTCCCAGATCCCCGCATCCCTTTGAAAGAACAGCAATTTCCTTGGACATACCCATTTTCACTGAGATCACTGGTAGAATGGCCTGTTTGCAGTGTTTTTAAGATGACACTATCATCTTCCTGGTCACTGACGCTAGATTCATACCCCTCCTTGATTTTCTCAACAACCTCAATGTGATCAAGCTCTGCCAGGTATTCRTCACCAAAGTCTCTTCCTTCCTTGTTGGCCATCTACAAAAAAATCCCGGGTAATTCAAAAACACCGTCCAGACAATAGAATGATGAAAATAGGAAAGAAAAAGAGAATGGAAGAGAAAAGAAAAAACTGTGAAAGAAAGCAAAGTTCAAGACAGAAGAAAAATAGCAAATACAGTAGACAACTGAAAAATGAATGAAAGATGAAAAAATGGATGAGAGAGCACACAAAAATGATGGAACTAACAGCATTTCACTCACATCTTCATTCATTATCTGCCCAGAGTAGGTACATATAAATGTTCCAACTGGAATATCATCCAAAGTCCGCAGTCCCCATCCTCGATTCTCAGTTTTAAATACTTGGAGGCGTAGCTGAATGCCGTTTTGTACAACACGATTGAAACATTGGCTTGAGCATGCGCAGTTTTGGTTACATTCATAGATACTAAAATTGAAAAAAAAAAAGATTTCTCATTGGATTTCCCTTTTATTTCCCATTCAATTGATTCCATTCACCTACCCAGTAGGTACAGTATCCATCAGTCGTCGATATTCATATCCAACAGTATTGTCCACTTTACCATCGACGGCAGCTGATGCTGATATCGTTAGCTGTGCACATGAACATTTGGTTTTGTCCTGAAAATAATGATAAACTTCTCAAATCAACAAGACATCATAAAAGTAAAATATCATTACTATTTTGATGGTCTCTTGAAAGTTAGCTGTGCATTTACATCAAAGAATGACAATCGGTGAGCTTGCATTAACTGATCAAAACCTGCGTTTTGATTGCTGCTTTAGTACAGCATCTCTCGGTTTTGTTTTATTATTGGAAGACTTGTTTTCATTGTTTTCTCAACCTATCATGAGAGCCGTGACTCGGCCTGTCCGGTTTGTCTGCGACCAGAGCCTTCGAGTTTCCGTTAGGAATCTGATGAGGGTCTGGTAAAAGAATGGCTCAATGTTTGTCTGATTCGTGTAGCAGCTCCAAGGAACGAATCTCATGATTTACTGAGAAACAACGGACAAGCAATAGATGGTCTTACAAACAAGAAAACAAACTCTAACCTAACAACAGAAGTGCAGCACTAGGCACTCAAAAAGAAGGTTTTGAGGGGTGTTACATAACTGATTGTCAATGCTTAGGTTCAAAGGCAGTTAGTGCAGAGATCAGTGTAGTGATTTAACAATGAGTCACTCCATACCTGACAATTGTCTGTACAATCACAACATGCTAAGAATCCAGGATCAGTGTTGATATGAACCCCGTCTGACAGTATCCTATCATGTACGTAGTCTATGGATGGTGGCAGGCTTTTATCATGTTCATTCATCACCTGAATCATAGTGCAATCAAATAAAACTGAGAATCTGGAATGGATATTGGATGGCAAAAAATGCCTGTGCTTCTTGCTCTCAAATAACATTATATAATATGTTTAATTACAATCCTATCGCAGTGCAATACAACAGAAAAACACTGAATTACAGGATGAGCGCAACTGATATAACAATATTTAACAACTATCATTAACAACTACATTACAGATACTTAACAGACACAAAATTTTTAAGTCTATCAGTTCTCGTGATATTTTTTTTAATTGAGAATCTGGATTGGATATAACTCGATGACTTCTTGATCTTACCACATTTAAATGTACTTACAGATATAGGAACAGATTCTTCACCAAGGGATATATCAGGAATTACAATACTCTAAGAAAAGAACAAACAGAGCATAGCTATGCCACAAATATTTCATCAAAATGAAAACAAATAAATATGTTTTTACTCACTTCTGAATGAACCATTACATCAGTGCAGGCAATGTCAGGGTCAAATGAGAACTGATCGATTGCAACATTGCTGGTTCCTGTTAGAAGTACTAAAAGCAACGAAAAACATATCAGTTATTTCATTCATCTATCCATATCTTGATCTGCTCTTCCATCTGCCCATCCACCCAGTCAACCAATTATCCATTCAATACTCATTCATCCAAATCTTGATCTGCTTTTCCAGTCAGCCCACCCATACATTCATTCCTTCATTCTTCCATTTACTCATTCATCAGATTCTTCATTTTTCCCTTCACTTGTCACTTAACTTCTCTATCCATAAATCTCACTAATGAACGTATTTAGTCACGCCATACTTACAGTACTTGGCAACATCTTCAATCGATTTCTGAATCACAACAGAAAAAGAAAAACAGCATATAAACTTTCTGACACTGATGAGCAAAGATGGTTGAAAATCATTCAATCATTTTTCCTTACCAATCTTTTATTACAAGGAGCTCTGTAGTATATCTCTCTCTTGATCCTTGGATGTCTCTTTGCTATTTCCCTGTATCACAATTTCACATTAACCATTTATGAGTGACTTAATCTAAAATTGTCAAAGAATGCTTTCCTGTTCAACACTAATAAGAATGGGAAAGAAAAACGGAAGAATAAGGAAAAATAGAGGGATGAATGGGATGAATTGATGAAAGAACAAAATAATGAATGATCGAATGATTTTATTTACGCAGCCTTCATTTCAAAAGCATATAATATTCTTGTATTCACAGTCAAAGCCCTACCAATAGCAATTCAAAGATTATCCATGTACATGTATGTGCAAAGAATCTAACTATATTTCAGGCTGCATATGAGAGAATCGAAAGTAGAGTATCAAAAAAATAAAATAACATTGAATCATTCAAATCTTTTATTGTCAACCAACCTTTTCCAGTTCAACAGCAAAGGCAATGCCAACATATTATGCTTTGATTGTTCTTTYTTGCTGATTGTCTCTACCTTCCCACATGGCTTAGCACATTGATGTGGTCCTAAAACAGGAAACTTAGGAACAAGAGACTGTAGCTCGGGCATTGTTTTCAATGTTTTTACTAGCTTYTTCTCAGCTTGTAAGCGTTCTTGGATCAAAGTTGCAGCATCATGTTTTGAATTCTGTTCTTTGACTTTCATGTTTGGTTCTTTCAGGATATTAGTGTCGGAATGTGTTTTCCAAGGTGCTTCCCACTAAGAAAATAAAATAAGATGATGAAAATGATAGAATGGGAAATGAGAAAAATAAAAGGGAAATGAGAAAAATAAAAATGAGAAATAGAAAAGAAAATGAGCAGGAAAGAAGAATGAGAAAGAAGGGAAATAAAGGAGACAAAAATGAAAACTAGAAATGAAAATGAGAAGGAAACAAAAATGAGAAGAAAACAAAAATAAGAAGGAAATGAAAATGGGAAAGAAGGGAAATGAAAAAAGACAAAAATGAGAAATAGAAATGAAAATGAGAAGGAAATGAAAATGTGAAAGAAGGGAAATAAAAAATGAAACAAAAGTGAGATATGGAATATCAATACAAAACAACTAAGCTCGAGGCAACAATAAACAACTACATACTTTTTTCTTTGGTGATTTTCCTAATGATGGTGTAATACCATTATGGTGTCCAGGAATAATAACGTCGGGACCAATACTCAATACATGTCCTATATTAACTGTGTTAAGACCAGCTGTGGTTCGCTTCCTCATTGTACTAGCAATAATGGATGCATTGCTGTCATCCAAATGATTGACACCTGACATATGATTGACAGGTGAGATATGATTGGGYAATATATTGTTGCTACGGATATTTGTTGTATAACTTGTATTAACAGCRCTGTTTGGGAAGAAGTAGCTGTCAGTGTTAGCTGTGGAGAAAAAAGCAAAATTACTCACAATCAAACTGGCAATATATATATTCAGATGGGTAATAATTATCATTAATTATTAATGATTATAAAATTTTTGATATATAACGCGCGCTCTGATTGGCTGACGACCGTGTTTATATCAGAGGACAGAGACACGCGTTTTATATTTCTTAAATGATTAACAGTGAAAATGGTAATTATAAGCATCATGACGATGCTAGAGTACAAGCACTAAAAGTTGCAATACTTTGTACTATTTATTAACGAGTAACTAGACAAATTAAGCAGTATTTAGTGGTAWTTATATTGCACACTTTCAGTGTTTGTACTAAAAAAAGTAACCACGTTGATGATACTAATAATAATACTGACACTGATGACGACAATGACAATAATGTTCCACTTACCTGATGGTGAAACTATCCTGTTAGTTTTCAATTCAGGAGTAGTTTTCTTTACTGAATCAGTTGTTTTGGAAGGTGAAATATTTCCATCGTTAACTTTATTGGCAAGTCTTCGCAGAGTTCTAACAGCCAAAGTATTAGAACTCGGTGCTTGACTCGGTGCCAAACTAGGYGTTGTTGATGTTGCACTTGTTTGATTGGAGGAGACACTGTTGCTTGGTTGCTGAGTTGAAGATTTGCTTGTAGGTKTTAAAGGTATTTGTGTAGTAGTKGTTTGTGTAGTTGTTGTAGTGGATGTTGTAGCTGTTGATGTGGGTTTTTCTTGTGTTTTAGAGGATGAAGGTTGTGAAGTTTCAGTTTGGGTGGATGAAGATGGTTGGCCTGCACTRGTTGTGTCTTTTTGTTGTGGCTGTTGTTGTGGACCTGTTCAGTAGATTAAAAGAAAAGAAATGTGTTGAATAAAGTATAATATTGTAAAATACTGTGATTCTGTATTGTGTACATATTCTGATAATAAAACTAATTGTTGCAGCTATTGAATTCCATAAAATCTGCATCAGGCAAGACCTTAAAACTTAATTGTTTTCCATCAACAGTAAGAGTTGACATAGTCACTCAGAAACAGTAAAATCCCATTCTAGTAGTGATTTGAAAATCAAAAATTTATTTTGGCACTGGAAAACACAATTTTCAGTATTCAATATTTTCTCTGACACACAATGTACCTATACACTAATTAATCGGTCGATATCCTTACAAGAAGGTTAAGGAATTAGCAGCAAACTAGTTTGAGCTGTGTCAGTGTTTCTAAAGAAACAGTTTTGTAAAAATTTAACACCGTAAAAAATTAGGTGAAATAACTTACTGATGTTTCGGACGTTAATCCTTCATTGGATTAACTTTTTACAAAACTGATTCTTACAAGAAGCCATTAGTAAGTGCTACAGTACCTTTGGAGTCAGTTTTACTGTAAGGAGAATATCCAAATGCAGGGTTTGTAACACTGAAGTCAACATAGGGTTCGTCTGGAGCTTGAGATTGCTTTTTTGGTCTTTTTGAACTCTTTTTCTTAGAGATTTTTCCATCAATCTGGTATAAATATTAGCATATACCTGTAGCTTTAGTAATTTGCTACAGTACACMATGTAACATTACAACAATTTAACACAAAAATGATTGAATGAATCCTAAATGAATGAATAGATGGATGGATGGTAGATGAATGAGTAAATGAATGAATGGATGGACGAGAAATGAATTAAAATAACTTACCAATGCCTTAAACAAAGGTTCCAACCTTGTTGACCCTCTRTAGATCCATTCAGTTCTGTTGTCAACTTGAAATAACATCTAAAAGAGAAAATCGAAATAACTTTGCATCAACAGAACGCAAACCCATGACTTTCTACAGCCTCACCACATTTTCGCCTGATGATGATTTAGTAATTAAATCGAAATATAGCGTTTTGATTCCATCTTGTCCATCCATTTTCGATTGAATATCAGTCAAA